TCAAGGCCAGCAGTTCAAGCTCACCAGCCGCTCCTCGGAAACCCTATACAGGGTCGCTATGGGTCAGTCCAACTTGACAGCACTTAACAATAACAACAACAAAGACAACAAGGAAGTGCGGTGGCTTCATAGGATAAGCACTAAACTATGAACCACAAGGTCCATGGTTCCAGCCCACCAGTCACTCCACAGAAGAAAGATAAGGCTTTCTGTTCCCTTGAAGATTTAAATCCTTGGAAACCCAAAACAGGGTTGCTATGAGTCAGAACTAACTCCACAGCACTTAACAACAACAACAGCAACAAAAACAAAGACAACAAATCCTTACTAAGTTGCAACAGATCTATGTCTTGAAAGAGTGGATAAGTGTTTTCCAGTAATATTGGAGAAGGAATTGAAATTAGAGTACTCATGTTGCTGTAGTCTTTGGGTCAGCTATGGACCATTGACTCCATACACAACATGGATAAATGTGATCCCAGGACCTTTTTCCACTAAGAATTCCTAGTGTGTTTCATTGAGGAAAATGGGATGCCTTTTCCCCCCCATCACTGAGTTCGTACTAGTTCCTGACCTGGAACCCATGAGGCATCATCTCATATCCCGCCCCCCCTCCTCAGACCAGCCTATCCTCTCTGTGGGATTCACCCCTAATGTCACCCCTCAGAGGATGTCTCCCATGTAAGGAGATGACAGTGATGCTTCCATGGATCAATGACCATCCCCTGGCCATCCCACCTGGGCATCTCTGAGGGGGACTCACTGGCATCTCTACATGAGAGACACATTTTTGTCTTAATGGGCAGTGATGTTTCTTCCTCATTTGCAACCCCTGACCTTTGACCATACTCCCCTAGATTCCTCCTTCTGGAATCTCCCACAGATTCCAAGCTTTTGTTTCTACCTCCATTGGCTCTTTCCTGGTAACTGCTCAGGTGGCCTACTGGTTCTTGCTGGAAGAGCTTTTGATTGCAGCCTAAGACAGGTCTCCATGGAAACATTGATTAATGTCTTCTCCTGGAGGCCATGGCCCTTTCTAGTTCACAGAGTCCTTTATGTTCTAATTGATCATTAAACACGAACCATTAAAGAATCATTGCATGAAACTTGCTTCTGTGTCTCCTGACACACTGAGTTTGCTAGACTGCGTCAGTTTTGGCTGGCTGAGATGGAATGTTGGGTGTGTTCCAGCTGGACAGATGGATTTTGACTAGAAGCTTTTTCAGATACTCTGCACCTGGACAAGGAATCCTGGTGTGATGCTTTATGTAACATAAGCCCTCACCTTGAGTTTGGCTTGAACTGCAAAGTCAGCAGTTCAAACTCACCATCCACTCCTCAGAAACCCTACATAGAGTCACTATGAGTTAGAACTGATTTGACAGCACTTAACAACATGTCTGGGCAAAGGTGCAGTGACTTGGTACCCTGAGCACCTCGTAGGGCATAGACTTGATGCCCTATGGATCTCTTATTGCATGGACAGTTAGAAAGGTGGGAATATGGACTCTGATATCAGAAAGATCCAATTTGAAGCTCAAGTTCTCAACTCCGTGGTGTTCTGCCTTTTTGACCATTAATTTACTCACCTGCAGGATGTTGTGTGCCAAAGCCTGGAATGTCACCTGGTGAATACAAAGTGAGGTCAAAGCAAACCTAGCCTGTGGGAACCAGGCAGATAGACCATCAGCACCTGACCAGGGCAATGCCGCATACGTCCAGAAGGGAAGAAAGAGTATTTTTACTTGTTTTAATTGTAGGATAAGCATTCAAGTACAGGGTCAGTTTGAACCTCAAGGTTGGTGGTTCAAACTCACTAGATGCTCCTCAGAAACCCTTTACAGGGTCTCTGAGTTGGAACTGACTTCACAGCACATAACAGCAACAGCAAACATACATAAGCCTAGTTTAAAAGAAAAACAACACACACACACACACAAAATCCCATTGTACTAGTTGATTCCAACTCATAGTGACCCCATAGGACAGGACAGAGTCAAAATGTTCTGCAGAGCTGCCAACCCTATAAACCTCTATAGAAGCTTACTACCTTATCTATACCCCATAGGGCAGCTGGTGGGTTAGAAAAATCCACCTTTCAGTCAGTAGTCCAACAGCTAACCGTCAGTGCTCCTTTAGTAAGCCTGTTAACAGGTAATAAACCTGACTTTAAAAAAAAAAAAAATTAGAATATACACCCAATTTTATTCTTTTTTGAATTATGTGTTATAAAATTTTATAAAGAGAAATATGCTAAAATGTTAAGTGCCCTCTAAGTTATCGTGACCCTGTGTAAGGTTTCCAAGGAGCAGCTGGTGGATTTGAAGTGCTGACCTTGTGGTTAGCAGTATCCCTACAATACACACCATTAGGCATCATCTCTGGATGGTAGAGTTGTGGGATTTTCATTTTCTATCTTCCTTTATAGAGTCCTGGTGTGGTGCTGTGGGTTAATGCGCTGGACTACAAAGTCAGTTTGAACTGTAAGGTCAGCAGTTGAAGCTCACCAGCTGCTCCTTGGAAACCCTATACAGACAGGGTCGCTATGAGTCAGAACTGACTCAACGGCACTTAACAACAACAATAACAATCTTTCTTTATACTTTCCAGTCTTTTGAAAATGCTCTCTAGTAAATATGTATTGCTTTTAGCACAAATGAAAAGGCATAACTCTGGGGAATAGTACTTGAAAATATTTGGAAATGCCTGATACAGTCTAATTTCCACACATACCAAAGATCCCAACAATCAAGTTCTAAAGGAAATAACTGTATCATTCTTTCTTTTGTAAACAGTATGTCTTAGTTATCTGTTAACAGAAATGCCACAAGTAGGTGACTTTAACAAAAAGAACTTGATTTTCTCACAGTTCAGGAGACTAGAAGTTGAATTGAGGGTGCCGGCTCTAGAGAATGACAATATGGAGAAAAATCCTTGCTTCTTCAGTTTGTTTCTAAGTTCTTTGGAGCTCTCCCTGTAGCCTGCCATCCATCTTCCCCCATCTTTGCTCGTTAGTTCCTTTGTTTAATCACTTTCAGATCTCAAAAGAAATTGACCCTAGAGGTACCCTACACTACTTCATCAACCTAACTAAACAACCCATTCCCAAATGGGATTGTAACCATTTTGGTTGGGATTTACAACACATACTCTTTAGGGAAAAATTCAATCCATACCAATAATTATACTTTTTTTTTTTTTTTTTTTTAGGATGAGAAGAATCAAGTTTTAACCACAAATATTTGGCTACAAATGGTAAGTTAAGACAATGGCGGCCACCCACAATCTTCCCAGTCTTGTTCCAACGGTGCCTTTACTGGACTTTCAGTGAGAGCCGAGGTTCTATAGAAAGCCAGAAATGTCACCCTAACTTCATTGATGCCAAAGTGAAGCTAAGTGTCCAACCTTGCAGTGTGTGGAAGACTGCATCCCGCACCGCTGCATGCAGACTTGCATTTTGCTACAGAGGACTTTGGGGATATTTCAAAAATAATGCTTGATGGGACACACATGTGAGTTCCATTGTGTTACCAAAAAAATATGTATTGGAGCCCTGGTCTCTATACCGGTTGATCTATTCCTGTTTAGAAATATGGTTTTTCTCTTCATGCATTAATGGTATTATATAGGTCATATTGAGGAGGGCAGGTCCTAAACCTAATCCCTCCTAAATTATCGAGACTTGACACAGATTCAGAGGACCTACTCATGGGGAAGATAGATACAAATGATGGTCAAAGAATGACAAAAAGCACCAACGAGTGCCCCAGGCTATTGACAAGAAGACGCTCCTGCTAGACCCATGCCCTGAATTTTGATGTCCAACTGTGAGACAATTAACCCACGTTTTGTAAAGTCCCCACCTGTGGTACCTGTTTTACAATACTGGGTGACTACGGCAGCATCTGATTAGATACAAGGCTGTATTAGATATTGTACCATGTCCCCATCCTCAGTGCTCTCAGCACCTGCCCGCCCCACCATGCTCCTGAGAATCAACTGGGTCTTGCCTAAGTGGGTCTCCCTCTCCCTGTTCTCCGGCAAGAATTTTGAATAACATTCACAGACTTTTAGTTTGACGGATAAAATTCTAACCTAAATTTAATTCATTTCAAATGATATAACTTCCAGAACACTGTAAATATTAGCCTTTATAAGCAAAACTGTTCATCTCACTTAAGTGGAATTCAAATCCTGTAATAATTTAATACCTATTTTGTTGTTAACTGCCACCAACTTGTTTCAGCTCATAGCAACCCTTTATAGAGTTTCCAAGGAGTGGCTGGTGAGTTTGAATCTCCAACATTGTGGTTCAAACTGACCTTGTGGTCCAGTGCTTTATTCCACAGCACCACTTAAAATATATGAACACACACATCTCTAGTTATAAGACATTTTATGTGGTTCCAATTCCTCTTCATACTTGTATTTCTATTCCACTTTCTGTCCAGAATTTTATCCTAATATAATATAATTTTATTTTTGAAAGTATTTTATTAAGCACTCTGCCTTGGTTCCCTCAAATGGAAATATTTACATAAAATTATTCCTTCAGAACAAAATTGTTCAATAGCTTTGTACTGAATAGATTAACAATTACAAACATACAAATTAAAAATATGCTTGAAAATATGGCACTTCCAAAGGGTGAAAATAGAAATACCTTATGATCCAGCAATTCCTCTACTTGGTATTT